TTTTCGCCCACCAAAAACTAGTTAATGAAACGCTGCAACGTTTTTTAAATCATATTTCTAAACAGTAAATAAGCAAAACTGAAATCAGTTGAAAACTCAATATCCGAGTTAAGCCTGGCATAGAAAGTTGAAGAGAAGTAAACAACAACAGCTGCGTGCTTGGAGCTCATTTACATTTGCCGAGAGTTGGGCTAGGCAAACAAGCAGCTCAATGCTGTAGCATATTAAACAACAGCAACAACAACAACAACAACGGGGATCATAAAACTAATAGCAACAGCAGCAGCAGCAGCTCTGACAAACACACAATAGAAGAGCGCTGAAAACATTACGCATACGCCATGTGGGCCACTCACCTGAGTTCGCCGTCGTTAGTTTATTGCCGGCAGCTGGTGTGCCCTGCCCCTTCTTGTGATGATGATGATGATGGTGATGATGCTTCTTCTTGTTCTTGATGATGATCTTGCGCCGCAGCATCGAGGGCGGCGGCAAATCCACATTCGGCTCCAGCGGATGCGAATCGAGCGGCTTATCCAACAGCATATCGCCAAAGATCTCACGGCAATAGTTCGCAATCTTTGCCTGCAAAATGTTGCAACAGCATTAGTTTGGCTAACTGGCTGTTAACTGAAATTTGATGAACAGGCTCCGTAAGTAGCTGGCCAACTTCCATGCACTCCCCTTTGGCCTTTCTCCCCCTCTTGCCCCATCAGATATGCCTGCCTGCCTATGTTAGTTACCTGTTCCCTATGGTAAATTTAGTTTATGTAACTACTTTTAATGGTAAAACTTTAACCAGATGCCTGTGCCGCCGCCGCCACCTCCTCTCGCACCTGTGCAGCTGTTCGCCGGCCCCGTGTGGCCCTAAAAAAGTTTGCCTTTGTTATTATCTCGTGGAGCTAAAGCATCAGGCAATTACCTTTCGAGTAGCTGCTGAGATTTACTCAGCCACACGGCAGCTGAGCTGCGCAATGTTTGAGTGGGGAGGCGGGGCTCACACTGGTTAGATGGTAGGCGCGCTAGAGGGCGGGGGCGTGGCACTTTGGAATCCCTTTGGATGAACGTGAACGGGTAAGTTTTTGTTTTGCTTTTTTTTTGCTGTTTGCTTTCTGACGAATTGTTTGACTAATGCGAGAGGCGGGAGAGGCGTGGAGTACGGTGCGAGGGTGGTAGGGGATCGAGCACCCGTTAGAGATTGGAGCGTGTTGTGATGTTTGCTAAATACACGAAGTCAAAAAATTTGAGTCCTGTTGAGCGTGATTATCGTGTTGACGTGACATAAAGTCGTTTTAAGTCGAGCTTAGACATGTTAAGCCGCGTTTTGATGTCGACTTAGCTATGACAGAACTCTGCTCAGTTATGGCAAGCTCCCTTAGAGAGTTCTGCGGCAAAGGAGTGTGAAGATGAGGAAAGGTAAGGTAATTTAATCGGGTATCATATTAGAATAATCGAAGCTAGTTTGCATTTATAGCGATTTCCGGTTATGATGAATATATTTAGCTGCATGACTTCTTTAATATTCATACATTTGAATGCTATAATCCAACATGTGTAAGGAATGCCTACTCGTCTCACTTTTTAATGATGCTCACTTATGAAGAGCTATTTTGACTACTTCCACTTGATGCTCTTCTCTTTTATATGCAGGGTGAGGCAAAGACAATCGGCCTATTTGGAGCTATATCTTTTACAAATGTCGCCCAATCTAAATTCAGTTTGATACTTGTGAAGTCAACATATGCAGAATATAAAGTGACAAACACTGCATGGGCTTACATTGCTAGAACGTGAGATGAAATGAAATAAGGAATGATGCAATTGTTACTGGGTCGCTCCATCTCTCATTTTTAGCCGGCCAGATCCTATGATTAAACTCTTGAAGTCGTAAATGAGAATATTCGCCAGCAATGGCCTCAAGTTCTGTCAAGAGGGATGTAAAATGCCATAAAACGGGCGACTCTTGCGGCGACTGCTTGACGGCTATCATATATTCAATTAGACGTAATAGTTCTATGGGATTATAAATACATACATATATCACAAGCAGAGCAGTTGTTTTTCATAAAAAAGACCTCTGCACCACACGGTACAAGCCTATGCAATCATATGTTATACTCTTTAACAACTTATAAGTCAACTGACTTTAATCGAGCTCAATCGAGCTATTCAAGCTTTTCGTGCTCTTCGTGCCCATCGTGCTCTATCGTGTACACATGCCTAATGCGCCCCACATTCCATTTTGCAGCACAGCGCACGCTGTTAGCTCAGGGCAGGGGCCATGAAATTGGCTTTTCGTTACAGTTAGTTTAGGACAAGTCACTTTTCGACAGCAGCGGCAGCTGTCGATATGCGGGCGCCCATTCATTCGGCCCAAACTATGTGCGGGACTTACCTGTTGCCTGGGATTGCAGTGATTCTCGAAGCTCAATATCACAGGGTATTCGGATGTTTTAAATGCGCTCTCCGCGATGGCCTCCAGCACGTCCTTGGCATAGATTTCGGGCACAAACGTATAGCCGTGCACAATTACCGGCTCCTCGGTGCGTCCATTCCAAAAGTCCAGCTCAACGCATCTGAGCCAGTAAAAAAACAAGAAAAGCAAGAAAAGCAAAAAGTGAAGCAATGTTTGATATCGACAAACAAGTGGAAGCCATCAAATTAACTGACGCCGCAAATGGCCACAAAATGACGGCGCATAAAAAAGAGTTTATCAGATAATGCGGTCAAAGCGGCAAGAGCAAGAGCAAGAGCAACGGCGAGCAACGGCAATGGCAACAATCAAAATCATTCGCCATGTCCTTGCAATAACTTTTGCGTCAATAAATTTTGTGATGTGTGCAGCGCAGTCAGCGAGAGACTGCAGCGGCGACGTCGACTGCGACGGATGCAGCGCATCAGCAGCACGCCATGCTCTTGATGGCGGCCGTAAAAATGGCGACCAAGCAATTTCCGCTGCACTAAAAAGCAGCGCAGCGGCAAAAATGACAGACATAAACACACACACACACACACACACACCTGACATAATGAGTGTGTGGCATATGTGTGTGAAGGCCCGCAATTTACACATACAGACATGCGGCAGCGCAACATTGCAACAAGGTCACGGCCAGCATCCAAAATATGGGCAACTGACCACACATTCACACATTCACACGCACACACACAGATACACACATACGCACACGCATGTGTCCATTTCATTGTGTAATTAAAACGCACAGCTCCGCCTTCACAATATGACCACAACCACATGCCACACCACACTACAGGACGGCAGAGGACGGCAGAGGACGGCAGAGGACGGCAGAGGACGCAGCACGCAGCACGCAGCACTCACCTGCAGCCAGCGAGCAGGCATTGCCTGTATATCTCCACAGATGACTTGCCCGTCAGCTGATGACCCGTTAGGTAGGTGTTGTGCGAGGAGTTGATGAAGTAATGCGACATCGGCTGATCCATATCATCGCAGAGATCAAGCTTGTTGGGCGCCATTATGGGATTATCGTCGCCCATTAGATATCTGAAATGTGAGGGGGAAGAGAATAAATTAGAGTGTGCGTGAGAAACACAGTGTGAGAGGCAGATAGAGAGAGAGAGAGAGAGAGAGAGAGAGGGGATAGATATATATATACAGGGAGATGGGGAGAGAGAGTCAGATGGATACGGTGGAAGAGATAGAGTGAGAGAGAGAGTTAGATGGAGAGTGAGAGAGAGAAAAGTAGATGGAGAGGGGAGAACAGAGAGAGAGAGAGAAAGATATGGAAATAAATAATATGGAATAAATATATATGGAATAAAAGTAAGGGCTTGCAGATATTTGATAATTATATATTGTACTTATATGATATTTATATTATATTAAACTGTTTAATTCCTCCATTTGCTGCTCACTAATATTTAGTGCTCACTACTATATTCATGGCCTAAGCTGTACATCCATAGTTGCCCTGATTAAAGTTAAAGTTAAGATCTGAACAGTTTCACAGCGAGCAAGTAAACCGACAATCATTTATTCTTTTAAAATAATTAAACAAAATAGCATTTATTTTGCCATAAACTTATCCCAATAAATCCCTTCCTATGCTTGCCTGAACCTATCAAACTTCTCAATTTCCCCGTAAAACCTCTGTCATTTTGCTCTGCGCAAAGCTATTAATCGAGTAGCTCCACCCGTTGGCCCACTGAATCAGTTGTATTCGCTGCACATTTTCCGCTAGTGTTGCATGCATGTTTTGTTTTCTTTTAATATTATTTTGCATGTGTTGCATGTGATATGTAAAGGACACAATGGCGCGCGTCCTTCGCGCCCGAGTAACTGTGAAGTGTGCCACTGGCTGATGATAATGATGATGATGATGATTGTGATGATGATGTTGTCGTCTTAGGCCTCGCGTCACATGCAAGCGGCGCCCTCTTGTGGGCCATGGAGTGCCGTCAAGTGACTATAACAGGCGTTTGGCGAGAACGATAAGCTGTCAGGCACAGACCCAGGCCAGGCGCAGGGCCTAAGGACGTGGGGGTGGCTCACTTAACTTGGGGCCTCCCTCAGTGGGTGCTTACCTCAAAAAGCCATCCAAACTAAGGTGGCCCTTTTGCGCGTTGAACTTGTTGGGCTCGTATTGCTGGATCAGCTCCTTGGCGCGCGCATTATTCGCATAGGGATAGAGAATCTCGTTGAGGCGCGGATCGCGTTGCGTTTTGTTAAGGAACTCCACCAGCTGCGCCACGGACATGCATTTGCGCTTCGCGTTGCCCACGCTGCATAGATATGGAATTGGGAATTGGTTAAGAAAAATCAAAGAAGAAACATAACTGAATCGCAATCCAATTGATTGACCAACTGTACTCACATGCTATCGAATAGACGCTCCACCTCAGAGCGCTGCGTCAGATATTTGTACAAATTATAAAAGTCCTCAAATTGAAATTTCGACACCGATATGCTATCGACCTTGCCCGACGGCAGCCCGGTCACGTCCAGCGCCTTCTCGACACGTTTCCGATCCTCTTTATTTTGCGCAAAAAGTTTAATGATGCTAAAGTGGTCACGACCAGGACGACAACACGGCACACAGACGGTCCGGGGTTGGGGTTGGTGTTGGATTGATTTTATTATGTGGGTTCGTTGTCCAGCCAGACAATGTGGTTCGTGTTGATGATGTAGTCGTCGTTGGCGACGAAGTCGGCGTCGACGTCGACGTTGGCGTTGGCGTCAGTGATGCATGAGCCACGTTCCAGCCACATTGAGTTGTTGCGTCGATGGAGAGTGGAAGGAGTTGAGCGGAGGCAGAAGAGCAGGGAAATGCGAAAAGAAATTGGCGTAAATTTCAATTTTCTAGGCAACACTTAACAAATATTGTCAAATGCTTCAACACACAATGCACAAAAGCCAAAGAGCCCCAACCACTAGAGGCTCAACCCCAGGGCCATGGCCTGCTTGCTGCTTGGGGCTCTGCGGGCTCTGTGTGGGTTCTGTGCGGGCTACAGTGGCAATTACTTTTTGACTGGGATGCGTCCGCTTTTGTCCACCTGCAGACAGAGTTTTGTGTGCGCCTTCTGCAGGAACATAATCGCCGAGCCGTTCAGCTGGGCCAGACTATAGGCCAATTTGATGAGCCCGTCCGTCCAGATCTGGAAGAAGACAATGCAAGCAGAGGACGATAAGGTCAGCATGGATGTGACACGGCACATAATAGAGACGACGACTGTAAGCCGGAGCAAATAAATCAGCTGAAGTTACACAAACTCAAAAATAACCTCAAGAGTTAACGGGACGCAGGTTACAAGCATAAAGATTGATTGTCATGAAAAGGTTTTTGATTTACGGTTACAGTTGCATTTACTTAGAGCAAAAGGTGAGCGGAACATATTGAGCTGAATTGAGAATTGAAATGAGAGTTGGGGCGAGGTGAGAGTACAAATAGATGAAGGAGATGAATGGGAGAAAGAGGTAAGGGAGTGATGGAGATGAATTGGATACAGAAGTGAATGGAATGGAAGAAGGAGGTAAAGAGGAGAGGTCGAATGAAGTGTATTTGAGCATAAGGTAAATGAGAGAATAGGGTCAATAGAAGGGGGAAGTGGAGGGGAGCAGAAGGCGAATGCGAGCAGGACCTGAATAAGAAGAACAGATGATAAAGGGGAGAATGAGGTGAACTGATGAAAGAAATGCAGGAGAATGGAAGAAGAAGGTTATACAATGCCATATCAGATGACAACCACAACCAATTGGACTCGGGAATCTTGTGAATATTCACAGTGGTCCAAGTGATTAAAATTATAAAACTATAAATATATATATATATAATGAAAATAATTAACCAAATAATTACATTAAACAATTTAATTATTTTTTAACTTTAGGTTTGAAATATAAAGATAAATGTAAATATTATTTTTAGAGTAAGTGTTAGAGAGGATCTATTTGCCATAAAGCTGCTTATATGTGGAAAGCACACATACTTATAAATACAAACACCTTTGGCCATCACTGCTAACTAATTGCAATTTAATAAAAGGAATTTCAATTATTTATGCTTGAGATTCAACTCAAAATAAGCTTCTAGCCATTGATTGGTATTCCTATAAGAGGCTCCCAGCACGCGCACGAAACTAATTGAAATGGCCAAGCGCAAAATCTCAGATTACACACGGCCATGGCATGCATGCCAATGGCCAGACAAGGAGTGGGAGATTTGCATCTGATATAGATTACAGTTATGCTAAATGATTTTCATTGCATTGCACAGATTCAAATGGCATGGATACCGATTCACATACATCGAGTCGGGCTGTTGAATGATTCGAATTGCAGTTGCATTTGCATTCGCATTTGCTGGCAGACAAGTCTACAAAGCAAATCCATGTGCCAGTGCATTTGTTTGATATTCTCCAAAATATTTCAAGCAAATACCAAAATACCCTCACTCAGTTTTCTTTCGATTTTCGTGTGTGTGTGCCAAAGCTGCATGTTTATTTATTATTTTGTGCGGCCCGAAATGCCGTGAAAGTTTATGAAATTTTGGCATTCGATTTTGTTTATAGAAGCGCTGGCGACGCGTGCCAAAAATAATAACAATAACATGAATGCACGCACATGCCGCGCTGCTCAGCACCGACGTTCGTGTCCGTGCCCGTGTCCGAGTCCGTGTCCGATTCTGGCTGCGCCCCGGATAGACGAGCCCGTGATAAAATATAGAACATTGATTTTGACCAAAAACCAAACAGAACGCTGTCAGCTCCAGCAAGAGCAAGGTCACCTCTATGCGCGGCGAGCCAGAGGCAGAGCGGGAGGAGGGCGTGGCTGGGTTACTTTGTATTCCCATACGAGCGTTACGATTTTGAAGCGTATTCGGTTTTCTGTCCAGTCAGACATAGAAAAGGCGTGGCCCACCAGGCCCCCCTATGCTAAATCAATAAAATGTGTTCGACAGTCACTTATATTTTTACGCGCAGTCGGCAAACGGTTAAAAATAGCCCCACAACAACTGGCGCCAGGTGTGCCCCAATGTATCCTAATGACTTCAACAATGTGTATGTGAGAGAGAGAGAGTGTGTGTGAGTGAGTGTGCGTGTGTGTTTGAGTATGAGGATGGACTCAGATGTTTGAACTGAAGTGGATGTTACGAGACTGTTCCAAATACGATTTGCTGTAGACAATTCGCCTTACAGAGTTATCAGAGGCAGAGCTTTTGATAGATAGGATTAATATAAAGTAGTTAGTCTTATGGATAGGTAGGGCAGATGGACTGTTGAACATATATATTTGTAAGACTTATTTATATGTAATATTTATATATTATTTTATATGTAATAGTAAAAGTTAGACAGACCGAAGATTATAAAAATCACAACGATACAATATATGATTCCAAAGAAAATTCAGTTCAAATTATATATAAATCATTATTATTATAATATATATATCGTTAGTTAAACTGAAAACAAAATAACCCGATATTTTATTCTAAAAATTTCACAAAAACATAAAAAAAAGTTTATGATAAAAACCAAAAATGTTATAAAAAATCCTATAAAGATTATGAATTAGTTAAATAATATGTGTCACAATATATTGCTGTACGAAACTGTCTCAAATTGCGAACGAAATGGGAATTTGGAATACTCGTATATGTCAACTCATACAGTTTCGCGTTCGCGACCCATTTCACAATTCCCAAATGAGTTTAAAGGTGTGTGTGCGAGAATATGTGTGTGTATGGTGTGTGTGTGTGTGTGTGTGTGTGTGAGTGACCCAGTTTTACGCTCCCAAATAGCTTTTGATGGGCCCTCAATGTTCGCATTTCAATTGTCGTCAAGTTGTCAATTGGCCATAATGAGCAGCTGTTGGCATTGGAGCTTTGCCAGGAATGACAGCAGCGCCCCTCCCTCCCCCTCCCCCTGCTGGCGCTGCAGTTCACCCCTTTGCTTGTTGCTTCTTACCTGGGCAATGTCCCGTCGTGTGCAGCAGAAGTTGACAAATGTCATGTTGACAAAATCGGAGCCATGGCAAATGGTGACGGTCTTCTCCTCGAGTGTGTCCTGTGGCCCCATCGTCACAATCTGCCGCAACTTGGCGTCCTGCAAATAGAGAAAACCGAAACAGAAACCGGGTATTATTAATTACCTAGCATAAACCATGGCCAAAATGATGCTTTATGAGTCGCAGCAACTCGTTAAAGCTCCTCGTAAATCGAAGCCAATGCCCAAGCCCTAATCCACTGAGTGCGCGCACAAAACTCATTTGGCTGCCTCGTAAATCGCAAACAACTGGGCAAACGAATAGCCAGACAACCAGATATTCAACTGGCAGCCGAACTACTCCAGGGCACCATATTTCAATTAAATATCACAAAATGGATTTACGAGAGGTGCGGACTACAAGTGCCCAGCAATGCGCCACAATGGACACACCCAGCAAATCAACCTAGTTAGCCCAGAAGCCGTAGCACAGACCGCATAAAAAAGGCCAAGAAAGCAGAAGTCTGTTCTGGCCATGGTCGAATATGCCATGCACTTTGCTTCGGCTGGCTAAATCAAATGCGAGCTGGACTTTAATCACTTTTCATTAGTTTCAGAAATTTTACTTTACTATATATATATCTGCAAAAACTAAAAGCTATTTATTTACTTATCTTTTTTTTTTGTTAACTATAATCTCTAAAAGTTCTTGGGATTTCATTATATTTTCATTTTTGAATAAAAAACTTTCATTATTATTTATTAAAAATTATTAAAAAAATTATTTGTCTTTGATATTTAGCTATAGAAATTAACAGTTTATTTTTATAAATATTTTAAAGGCTAGTAACACATTTTTTTCTTTTCTAAAGATTTACTAGAAAATTAAAATTCACTTTATGCACTTAAAATAGAATCAAAATTAATTTAAGACATAAATTGAAATTTAAGAAATTCAATTGACTTATAAATAAGTTGTTTTATCATCAGCCAGTAATTTACAGTAATTTAATATTATAATCATTAATTTATTAATCATATATATTAATAAAGACTTTATGAGTTGATATAAATTTGTTAGGACTTTCTTGCTCCATGACAACATACTATTGCCCTGTGCAAGAGTATTTTTGCTTACTAACTGGGTTAAATGTAAATCAGCCCGATAGCTAGATAATCACGCAACATGTTCTGCAAAACTTAAATATAAAGGGGTGACAGAGAATGATAGACAGAGAGAGATAGAGAGATGGCGACATTGATTAAGAGAAGGAGGGGAGATTGTGACAAGGAGAAGCGACTGTTTGGCGAGACATGGCGAACGGCATTAGTTTTGGCTTTGTTGTCAGTTTAGCAGTTGTCCCCGTTCCTTGCTTCCCGTTACCCGTTACCCCTCTTCCGACGTCAACGGCTCTGTACAGCCTGAGTGGCAGTTGCATCGCCCGAGTGGCGGTTTCTATGGCAATGTCAGGGCTTGGGCAGTGTCTTATCTGCTATGGACTTCATTGTTGTCATCCCGCTGGGCGTTTAATGACAAATCCAAAATCAGCTCCAGGATTACCAGTGTCCTCTAAAATGCATGCTACACAGACAAACACACACGCCAGCAACCGGGTAGGGGGCGGCTGAAGCTTGAATTTGGCATTAACTTTGGGGCAAGTCATGCCTTTATATTAACAGTAAGCGAAGCTCTCTCTCTCTCTGTGTGTGTGTATATCTGCATGTCTGTCAGCCCACCCGTAGCGCTGTCGACTCTAAGACATTTGACAAACTGCTGGATAACTATGGACAAAATGCCACTGAAATTATGTGGCGTACATTCTGTGCTGTGTGGGTGTTCATATTTGTGTCTCTGTGCACACACTGTTTATTTATGACGAGCATTTAGATATATGTACATGATCACGATATTGCGCCATGTACAGCAAATATTATCAATAGCCTTCTGATATACTCGCACATTGTGTATTTATAGTAATGCTAGCAGCAGACTGCTTGGCAATGATTAATGTGCAAAGCGGTTCATAAAATAATATTCACACTAAGACATCATCTAAATATAATAAATCGCTCTGAGAACATATTGAATTGTCAATTGAATAAGTCTGTAATTTAGCTGCATAATAAAGTTTGGAATTTGCTATCCATGTTAGTGTTTGCTTTATGTTTAAGGATTGTATCATATTCATAAGTAACTATGACAAAAGATATAGTTAGCTAACTGTAGTTTATATGCTCTTAAAACAGTTTGCAGTATATAAGAACTAGATGTTTTTCCTATATAAAAAGAATCCCTCAAAATATTACAGCATCTGACGACACATTTAATAATTATTTATTTTATTTATTTAAGCAAAAATCTGCCATAAAAAAGTTGCCGAATCATAATTCTCATTTGACATACCATAAAATTTGCAGCTGCTAAAAACAAAAGCAGGAAAGTTTCCCAAACGTAATTCAATTCGCAAAGTTGACCAATTTTCGGCCAAATCAAAACATGTTTATCAGCCGAACTGACAGTTTATTGCTTGAACTTGAACTTGACCTTGTCCCATGTTAAGCCAACGAGCAATGGGATCGACTTTGAGTTTGTGTTTGAGTTGGAGATGGAGTTTGGCAGCCAACTAGCTGGATGGCATCAATATCCTGACATTGTAAAACACAGACTTTGGCAGAGCCATCAAAGCCGATTACAAGCCGCTCGAGCGTAGCCCGATCACATGCCAAATGCCAGAGCACAGAACAGGTGAAAAACGGTTTAAAAGCTGACCTTTGCTGGCCAAGAGCATGCTTAGCTGTGCCTGCCAGCATCCCGCCTGTGTGCACAATGAGCTCAGTCCATTGGCGGGACACTTTTGACTTTAGCAGGACTCTGATTGACACATCATCATGGAGGCAACGATGGAGCGCTGCTCAACGGCCATCAAGGAGCAGGCCATGGCAATTAAAGCCTCATTCTCTTTAATCTTGGCTTGGTAAGCGTTCCCCTGGCGCCAGGCCAGCCCATAAAATGTCATTGAAAACTGCCGTTAGCGTCCCCTACACGTGCTCCTTCGCGGAGCTCAACTGCGCCGTCATTAGAGCGCCATAATTTGCTTTTAACTAAAAACTAAATCGGGCAAATTTGTCTTCGTGAATAATGTAACAGGTTTTGAGTGAGTGCGAGAAAGAGAGAGAGAAGGGTACAGAGAGGCAGAGGTGCACACACCCTCACACACACAAGCTCAGCTGGTGAAGTTTCGGCTCTGCCAGGAAATTTTACGGGCTACGTAGGAAGCGTAAAACGGAAATGACTACGGTGATTATCTTAATTGTTTCACACGCTGCTCTTAAAGCTCTGCTTAGCTGACAGCCTGTGCCTGTCCTTGCTGATTTCGGCTAATCCTTTTTGGCACAGGTTAGCTATTAAAATATTTAACAGCCCTCATTTGGTGACTAGCCAAGAAAAGGTTGCCTTAGCCAAAACACTCTCGAATAGAATTTATTATGTCGACTGTTTCGATACATATCGTTACAGTTTCAGTAAGTTTTTGACAACTTTGGGTTGGTCAAACAGACAAAATTTTGTAAAAGAAATTTAAAAAAAAAGATAAATTTTATTTAATCCTATGTCCATCAGGTAACGGCTAAACTAAAATGCGTAATCAACAAAAGTCTCCGGTCCAAAATATTGATTCGAGATCAACAAGTGCCTATGTAGATCACACAGGGAAGCCTCAATCAGAAAGCGAAATGTCTCCAGCACAGCAGCTAACTCCCTACGATGTGATACGCAGGAATAACTGCAAGACGTTCAATTTTGTTAAGTCCGAAAGCTATCCCAATATCAGACCTGCAGAATCCAAGTGCAATGATGCGCAGACAGTGGATTGGTTATATAGCGCGGCTGAAGATTTCGGCTGTGGTCGCTACTTTGACATGGAGCAAGACGATGTCATCGAAGTCTGGAATAAGAGCCTCGATAAACAATCACTGAGCTACTACGGGGTGAGCACAGGCCAACCCGAAAAGGAGGCAGTGCACTTCCAAAGGGCGGTAGCCCGAGCAATGCGAAAGGCAGTGGATGTCAAAAAGCCAACTATGAATTCTGGTAGCCTCAGGGCAACCAATCCTCTGCTACCCAAGGAAGATTGTAGGCCCTTTGTTTTGAATCGCGAGTTACTACAGGAAAAGCTCAGAGGCATGCCCACTGTGCAGAGAAAGATCAATGCAAACGAGGCATTCAGCGTGCTGCACTGCCCTCTTCCAATCGATGCACGATATCCGTTTGCCAGCAGCGAGCCCAGAATTAATTTGGCCACTGCCCTGGATATGGATAGACGGGTGCAAATGCAAAAATATGGACTGAGGCGTAAATACAAATACTGCGATCTACAATGTGGCATTCCCCAGAACGTATGCACAGATTACGAGTGGATGAAGTACAAACAAGATCCGAGGACATTTGAGAACGCTTTCAATATCGAGATGCAGCAGCAGGAGGCTCAGACTATTGCTGAGCCGAAAGACTACGATGAGCTGTTCGAACATCTCATAACGTGCTTTGAGAACCACAGTAGGAAAGACTCATTGTGTGAGCTTTATAGCACTTGCTGTAAGTCGAAGAGCGATGAAACCGGCGATGAAGGTGGCAGTCCTCGGGGACCATCGGGACAACCTGGTGGTGATCAAATAGAATTTCCTCCAATAAAGGTCGATAGTTTGGATCTTGACAAACCAGAGAAAGATAAAATAGGAGGAACAAGTTCAGCCGACGAAAAATCAATTAGAGAAAAGAATCTTTTCAATAAGCAGAAAGAAGAAACAGAACACGGAAAAGAAACTTTCGAAAAATCAGAAGGTGATATAGAAAATCAGAAAAATGTGAATAAACATAGTAAAAAGCCTGCTAAGGATGGAAAAGATGGTAAGGATGGAAAAGATGGTAAGGATGGAAAAGATGGTAAGGATGGAAAAGATGGTAAGGGTGGAAAGAGTGGAAAGGGTGGAAAGGATGGAAAGGGTGGAAAGGGTGGAAAGGATGGAAAGGGTGGAAAGGAGGGTGAAAGTTCAGAAACTGACACCGACAAAAAAGGGAAAAAACACGATAAAAATGAAGATAAAAAGGTCGAGGTTATTAA